ATTCCTGCCGCTATTCTTGCGGTTGCTTATAGAGTTCTGTGCAGAGAGTCCTCACTGGCTTTTAAAGGTCATATTCAATCATTATATGCCAAATTTATTAATTTTTCATAACATGTAGAAATGTGTATTATTTCTCTACTAATGGAGTTTCCTAATTTAATAAATGTATTAATCTAATTGATCTTCACCTTAGAGAACTTGCTTCATGTTAAATTTTCTCTTTTTTAGATTTTGTAGTTGAGGGGAAAAAAGGAAAAAAAGAGGTAAACTTGAGATTTAGATACATATTTATATAATATCTATACATAATGCATGAACAAAGTGCACCTAGGAGATATATTGCATGATACCATCTGTAGAGACTTTGGTAATTGAGTCATTAAAGTTTCCACTTCATGGCATGGTTCCTGTATTATGGATGAAGGTAATTTTATCAAACCAGGTCCTTATATTCCTCATAGTTTATGTAGTATTAGCTTTCTGGTTCACTGCAGAGAGGAAGAGGAACTGAAGCTGAAAATGAACTTGAAAAGCTTCAAGGAGGTTTATTTGTCAGATCTGCTATGGGCGAATTATCAAAGTTGGTCGGAGGAGATGAAACACATTCAGTGAAGCTGTCAGAGTTGTTATGTGGTTGCTATTTTAGAGGTGCACTTGTTAGTTGGATCATACCTCAAAGTCAAGTTATTTGCATGGTTCCTTCAAAATGATTGTTTTTTAATTTCTCTATTTGCAGTGGTTTTCACTGGGTCTATCCTTTTTGCTTTACAACAGCTATCTGGCATAAACGCTGTATTCTATTTCTCATCAATTGTATTTAAAAGTGCTGGTGTGCCTTCAGATACGGCAAATATATGCGTAGGAGTTTGCAATTTATCAGGTGGATTATTGGTTAAACATTCACACTACATGGTCCATATGATGTGGCTTTTTGAAATACATCATTTGTGTTTGTCTTCAGGATCAATTATTGCGATGCTTTTGATGGACAAACTGGGAAGAAAGTCACTTCTTATTTGGAGTTTTTCAGGGATGGTAGGCAGAATAACCTTTATTCTTTAGGACCAAGTGATGATTCTTTTCCATAACAGTTCATGTAGTTTTAAGGATCTGTCTAATTATCAATTAAAATTAAAATTCAAGAGGGTTGAACAGATGAGCGCAAGTTCAATTAAAACACCTGTAAATAACAGGATGCCAAGCAGTCAAATATTTGATGAGTGACACATTCAGGGTTAGGAGTTTAAATTGTACCTAAGGTCTTTGACATTCTTCTCATCCTTCTCTTGGTTATGCTGTTTCAGGCATTGGCAATGTCCCTTCAGGCAATGGCCTCCAGTTATTTTTTCTCAGGCTCTGGCACATTATATCTATCTGTGGGAGGCATGCTGCTGTAAGTTGTTTATTGTTGGCAACTCGGATTGCAAGATGATGAAAAAAGCATACAATAACTTATGCAGCATACCGTTAATCACTTGCAAATCTTAGAAAATTTTCCTCCAAATTGATCATGAGATAATGAAATCCTAAAATCTAAATGTGGGAACTAGTCACTTGATAAGAATGAGAATACTAGGATATCCACGAAGGCATATAGAATGATATGTTGCAGATGTGGCTGTATGACTCGATAGTGAATTTCAAAAGTTCCTATTGATGAAAAATGGTACCTTTTTCTAAACCTACGTAATGATGCAGGTTTGTCTTGACATTTGCTACTGGTGCTGGTCCAGTCCCAAGTCTCCTCCTCTCAGAAACATTCCCTGGTCGAATTAGGGCTAGGGCAATGGCTATTTGCATGGCTGTGCATTGGGTAATTGCCTTCTGTAGTAGTTCTTATTATGGAATTAAAGATTGGCAACAATTTATTAGTTTATTAGTCTGCTTAAGCTTTCATCCGATTTGTTATTCAGGATTTCTAAAAAAGTATTCCTATTATATACTCTTACAGAAACAGAGAATATTTTTTGCATGCATATACATGCAGATGTCCTGATCCATTTGAAATATCTGACCTTTGTTCTAATGGAAATGGATGAGCAGGAGTTGAGCTAGCAAGCATAGATTATTTTCATTCTTATCCTGGTTGATTGTTATCTTTTACTTTCATGTACTTTTCTTAGGTCTTCTACTGATAAATTTGGGTAACTTTTACAGGTTATAAATTTCTTTATTGGTCTTTTGTTCCTGCGCTTATTGGAGCAAATAGGGCCATTGGCCCTTAATTCAATCTTTTGTTCCTTTTGTGTGGTAGCAGTAGTTTTTGTAAAGAAGAATGTAGTGGAAACCAAAGGAAAATCACTTCAGGAAATTGAGATTGCACTACTTCCCCCAGAGTAGAGGTATGCAAATTTGTAGTCACCGGCTGAACTACTCAGAACAATTTGAAGTGAAACTATGTCCAGTTAAACCCAAATTTTTTTTTTTGGTATAAAAGCTTATAATTTAGCTTTTTTCTTCTTTTGAAAGAAAATTTCTCTCTTTGTTTATGTAACAACATTTTTTCACAGCATTTTTATATTGATTTCTTGAAACTAACTTGGCTAATCACCATCAGTAGATAAGATTTAGGAATTCTAATTAGATTTGTTATTTTCAATGAGAGAAACAACTCTGTTTCGGCAAGCTTCCTCCAAGTTGTCATTATAATGGTTTCCAGGTCTATACAGGCAAGTAATGTAAAGTGTTGTATGTTGCAGGGAGGTACACAAAAATTATTTGGAGGAGAAATGTTTGTTGGAATTTTAGGTCAAAGAGAAAACATGTAAAGGATTCTATAGACGAAGAAGTGAGGCAAGATGCGTTTTCAGTAGTTTTATCTTGGCAATCAAGAAAGCCAATGTAAATCCTCACGAGCAGTGTCCTTATGCTGATTTCTGCTGACGGAAATAATACAAAACGCACAAAAGATTTGTGTTGTTAAATACAATGTTAAAATTCAAGGTAATTTATCCACCTTAACGAGTGTATACTAATCCATGCACTGTTTCCTTATGAAGTTTATTA